AACTTTTCGTTTCACGATTTTGGTCGTTAGTGATCTTAGCATAAAGGAGGATATGCATGAAATTTATTGTACTAGTACTAGTGATTAAAACTCATTGTATATCATTTTTTATATTTCCTATATTTTTAGATAGTAAAATGTTTTATTTCTAGAAGCTAGGAACAGATGACTGGGCTTAGTTATCAATACCCAATAACTGAAATTTACTCAACGAAATACCATCACAGATTTCCTTTCTGAACTTCCAGTACTGCTTACTGAGAATTGAAGATCTTTGTTAGCAGCATAGAAATCATTCTGCATTTTATATTTACTACAGACCAAATTTTTGTGGGATTTTCAAACAAGCAATGAAAGGAAGAATTTCAGGTGAGATGGATTCTCACAAAGGGAAGCGAAAATGAGCCTGTCCTGATGTAAATGATCGGGAGAGCCAATTTTGAAATTAAAATAAGAATTAAGCCTTTTTTATGCGGGTCATCAGCAACCATAAGCTGGGATTTCCTAAACAGATGACTATTTCGAGATCGACATGTGACTAAATATGTGGTAAATTAAGTGTAATTCGTAAATTTGAATTAAGAAATACTGGAAATGTAAATCCCGAAACAAAAAACAAAGCAAAAATATGAGGTGAAAAACAAAATAAGAAAAAAGAAACGACTAGATGAGAACATATCAATAATTTACATAGGCTGACTGGTATTTTTAGATTTATTAAATTTGAAAGTTTTATAGTCTTGTTTCACTTAGTGATTTATGTGTAGCTAATTTAGTTCCTAAAATATCAACATAAGCATTTGGAGGATTTAAAGTCCATCCAAAATCAGGCAAATTCGAAATAGATGTTGCTGCTTGGAGAGATTGCGGGAACGTTTCATGTCTGGAACGTCTCACGTCTGATAAATGGAAAAGCGGTGAAGCAGTCTGATTTATCGATCTCAAATCAATATCAACTGATTGTTTTTGTTGTTTGAATGAAAATTTTCTATTTCTGTAAACTGCATCATCCTGCAAAATATCAATTCGATCACATCTCTTTCTTCCTCTCTCTCTCTCTCTCTTCTCTTTATCTGCAAATCATGTTAGCTGCTACTGCTGTTAAAATAGCATACCAATAGTTTCCGTTTATCATTTCATAATTTATTTAAAATTTCTTAAGAATTTTTAGATTTTAGAAGTTCTCAAAATTAGCTTTTTGTGAAAAAATTGGTATGCCAAAAGCAATTTCGTGAAAGTAAGACATAATCAACAATTCAAGACTTTATATTCATATGAATCACATAAATTTCTAGGAAAACAACACTTACGATCTGCTTGAAAGGAAATTCTTCATCATCGTTAATGATAATTTTGTGCAAAAACTGTGATGCTTCCAGCGTATCAGTATCTCCATGTTTGTTATTCGAACTGTGGCTATTTCGTCTCTTAAAAATTTTGGACAATCCTTCGGGACTGGACTCAGTATGCTCTATTTGCTTCGTCTCTTCTTTAATTTGTTCAAGAGGTGCTACCTAAATTTTCCAATCGTTATAATTCTTCTTTAACTTTCTTTTTTTTTTTTTTTTTTGCTTTAATTCTTTCATTCTTAAATTTTCATTATTAGTTTCAATTTAGATTCTGGTGTTGGATTTTTCTCATCAGTCCAATTAAAATTCTACTTAAATGTTTCTGAATTAAAATAGATAAAGCAAAATTTAACAAAAACTTTAACCGAACATACTAACTCTGTTATTTTTTTGTGATAAAAGTGTTATTGGTATGAGTACAGCGGTTGTTCCCTTTTCTGCTAATTGCCGAATAGATGAAGCAATTTTCTGTGGTGAACTGAAATTTCAAATTTAGTAAAAAACAAATTTAACTTGTGTGTTTTCATCAAATCAGTACGAGTTTAATTTTGCAACCAAATAGCCAACTGACAACAAACCTTCCAGAATTTCTAAGTTGTTCCCCCTGTTTGAACAATTCTCCTTTAATAATCAAATCACCGAAACCCTGCTGATGAGAAAATGCATATCCTGAGCGTGATGAAGCTCGACGACCACCTGTTGAATACCGTATTGCCCTACAGTATGATAAACAAAAGTAAATAACAAATAAAAAATAAAGATAAAACAATAGAAAAATCAAATTACATAAAGTTTATCAATAGTGAAATTGCAAAAGAAATATAATGAATTTTGATAAAAATTTAGGAAAAAATATTTAATATAATAAAATGTTGCAACAACTTTGTTTCTGATGGTGGCTTTTCTTCCACAGCGGTTAGAAGTTTTCGTTGCATTCGAAGACGATCAGCATATGTGGGATGTGTATCCAACCAGAAGAATCGATTAATAAGTACTGGTAGGAGTAAAATAACGGATACCATTAGAAGAGAAAGCCAAAACTGTATTGATGTAAAGGCTCGCTGCATAACACCATATGATTGAACTGGTTGAAATTTTGAAACGAACCATACAGGTAAAGCTAAAAATTTGATAACATATCGAGTAATCATCGCGAAATGTTCAGATAGTCAATTTTAGTGATAAATTCAATTCGACTATCTGTTAGTTTTCAATTCAAAAAAATTGATATAAAAATTTAAAAATTCGTTATGTAATTTGAAAACAATTTGAACAAGCATAAATACTTTCAAAAAAGTGCTTCCGAAATAAATTTTATAATTTAAAAAAAAAATTAAGGAAAACAATTTCTTTTTTTTTTTGAACTATATGAAACACAAAAATTAAGGAAAACAATTT